TACTCATTTTGTAGACTTAGTCTGTTTCTCTCCTAATGGAAATACTTTAGCTTCTAGTAATTAAGATAACTATGTATTTTTATGGAATGTCAAGACAGGAGAATAAAAAAATATATTAGATGGCCATACTGATTGGGTTCAAGCAATCTGTTTCTCTTCTGATGGAAATACTTTAGCATCAGGAAGTAAAGATAAATCTATCTTAATATGGGATGTTAAGACAGGTTAGTAAAAAAATAAATTGTATGGTCATAGTAGTACTGTCTACTCTGTCTGTTTTTCTCCTGATGGAAATACTTTAGCATCAGGTAGTTATGATAACTTTATACGTTTATGGGATGTTAAGACAGGATCATAAAAAAATTAAATAGATGGTCATACAGGATCTGTCTACTCAGTCTGCTTTTCTCCTAATGGAAATATTTTAGCATCTGGTAGTTAAGATGGCACAATACGCTTGTGGGATGTTCAGAAAGGATAATAAAAAAATAAATTAGATGGTCATACAAGCACTGTTAGTTCAGTCTGTTTCTCTCTTGATGGACATACTTTAGCATCTGGTAGTTATGATAATTCTCTATGTTTATGGGATGTTAAGACAGGATAATAAAAAGATAAATTATAAGGTCATACTAATATTGTCTACTCAGTCTTTTTCTCTGATGAAAATACTTTAGCATCTTGTAGTTTTGATAATTCTATATGTTTATGGGAAGTTAAAACAGGATAATTAAAAAATAAATTAGATGGTTATGAATGGGCAGTCAGATCAGTTAGTTTCTCTCCTGATGGAAATACTTTAGCAACTGGTAGTAATGATAGCTAAATACATTTATGGGATGTTCAGACAAAATAATAAAAGTCTATATTAGATGGTCAGTCCAATCATGAAAACTCAGTCTGTTACTCTCCTGATGGAGATTTTTTAGCATAAAGAAGTGAAGATAAATCAATACGTTTATGGTGTATTAAAACAGGATAATCAATCGATCAAACCGATTAGCATTACAAAGATATTTTAGCTTAATTTACAACTCCACTATTCTAAAATATTTAATTTGAAAAAGGTAATTTATATTTTTATTTTATGTTTAGTGAACTAGAATCTAATTTTACTCTATATATCATAATAGACTAAATTCCAAGCTAAAGGAGCTTTTGTACTAAAAGGATCTTTTGTAAATTGGTAAGGTATGGACCTGAAAACACTTTTTAAGTAGAAAGGAAGTTACTTTTTGGAAGAATTTTAAAAGAAGTGATAAATTATCAAACACATAAATGCAAAATATAAAATAAATGCTTATTTATATTGTAATTATCCACTTTTGTTTTTCTTAAGATATTTCTGGGTTTGGTTAAGACTCAGTCTCCTTAGACATAGGCTCCAGACATATTATTTAAACAAATTATTTGAAATTGGTTGTCTTATTGTAGAGTAAATTCAGTAGGAAAAGTAGGAAAAGCTTAATTAATATTTTAACATTCAATCATATTAAATTTGGGGATTAGTAGTCTTATTATACATTAAATAGTATAAATTATGGATGTATGGATAAAACTAGTTTTAATATAAACTTGAGTATGTTTGATAA